GATGTCGATGGTTCGCCTGGAGTTACCCATAATCTTTTACGCCTAGGATTTTCAAAATATATCCACTTTTCGCAAGTCACAATTCGATGGAGAAATGACTTTCTTTTGTACCTGGCAACATTTCGCAAGTTTTTCGGTTTTCTTGTCTTTCAGTTCATATGGAACCCATTTTCCCATCTTCTGGATCTTTCCCATGGATTTCAAACGTATGGAGACGGCTTCTCGTGTCACATTCAATTGATCCGCGAGTTGTTGAATTTGAGCGTCATCCTCATCCAATGCTTGCAATTCGCTGTCTTCAAACTTTTTCGGTGGTTTTCTATTCTTCGTTTCTTACGTCAAAATCGTCACTTTTGAATTTTTTAAACTCAAAGCACTGTGATTTATCAAGAGCATGCTCACGTAAGCTTCGACAAGCATTCGATGGGATTCTGCAGCAGTTTTCTTCAAATGGTAACAGAAAATCAATGCTGTCCGCAAATCATAGTTTCCAGGCACAAAATTCGACATATTCAACGCTATTATAAACTATACTGTTGTATGAAACTTGTATTGTTGTGAGTTGAAAATCTTTGTCAGATGTCAGAACAAGGAAATGGCGTCAATGGCGCCATCTGACAACTACATTGACAGCTACATGGCCATCTATTGGTAAATTCCGGTTTCATATTTACATAGCTGGTATGTAACGTTTTATTTAATGATTTACTTAATAGGATTCCGTGTTATTTTGCCTTTTTAAATCCTATTTCTGTCTTTTACCATTGTCACCTGTATTGAACCATTTCTGAAATTAATCGTTTGTTATACGATGGTTCACTATCTATTCTAAAATTTTGATGCTATTCCGATTAAATTCATTAAAATTAATTCGGTGGTCAGAAATAACTGAAGGAGATGTTTTTTTTTATGTGTCTGACATATGTTCATTTAATCTAGTTTTTAATTTTCTTTTGATCTGATCAACATAACTAACTTTTGATCTAACAACATAACTTGTCTCACAATTCTCACAAGAGATTTTATACACAACTTCTTGGTGGGAGTATAAGTCGAGATGATCTTTACCCCTTTTTATGTAATTTTTTTAAGGTGTTAGAAATGGAATAGAATAATTTATAATCAAATGAGAGCTATAGACATAAATTTTTCAGACAGACTTAACGGTACAGTAAAATATTTATCTTTGAATTTGTCTTTCTTGTGTGAATGAAAATTATTGGGAATGTGCATTAATTTTAAGGGATTTTTTGATAAAAATACGATTTTATTGTAAAAAAATGGTTAAAAAATTGATTATTCAAAATATTGTCCATTACTAGCCATTACTTTTTCCCATCTTTCTGGTAATAGGTGGACACGTCGAAAGAACGACACATCTTTTGAAGCTATTTATGAATCGACTCATTTTTTGATATGTTCATAAGAATGGAAGCGCTGCTCAGACAGACTATGAAATCATCGATCGAAATAGAATAATCAAAAGGATAATCAAAAGGAGCAATATCTGGAGAATATGGTGGGTGTGATAGGACATCCAAATAAGCGCTTCTAACGTTTCTTTGAGCGGTTTCGCAACATGTGGTCGAATGTTGTCATGCTGGAAAATCACTTTGTCGTGTCTTTTCGCGTAATCTAGCCGTTTTTGTTTCAATGCTCGCCTCAATTGCAACAATTGTTGGTAGCGTTCCCCAGTGATGAATGATTTCGTTGGATTGGAGCAGTTCATAATACACCCAGCTGATCCTACCATACAGAGCATGAGCTTGGCGCCATAAATATTCGGCTTTGCCATCGATGTTGATGGTTTGCTTGGCCTGCACTATGATTTTTTGCGCTTCGGATTATCGTAGCGTATTTATTTTTTATCATCCATCATGATACGATGCAAAAAACTTTTTTTTCTGTATCTTTGAAGCAACAATTCACAGATCATTTTGCGCCTTTCGACGTCTCTCGGCTTCAATTCATACGACATCCAATTTTCTTGTTTTTGAATCATTCCAATGGCCTTCAAACGTCTGGAAATCGTTGATCGACATTTTATGATACATTAACATTTAATGATTCTGCAAGTTCTTGCGTTTGACTTGACTCTTGATCGAAGAAAGCTTTTTTATCTTCAAACTTTTTTGACTGGCCTGGATATTCTTTCTCTTCCTGTTAAAATCACCTTTTTTATAATATTGAAACCAATCACATGTTGAAATCGATGGAGTATAATCACCATAAGCTTCTGACAACATTCCTTGATTTTCAACAACACTTTTCTTCAAATGAAAGCAAAAAAGCAAAGCTTCCCGCAAATAGCGTTTTGTTGGCATAAAATTCGACATATTCAATGCTCAAAAAAACAGTGTTGTTTACAATTCGACAAAATGACACATACTGAAAACTAAAGCCACATGGTGCTTGAATATGAAAGTAGCAATAATATGGCCTGATGCGATAGTACTAGTCACGCCTATCTCTTGAAAATCCTTTAAAATTAATGCACACTCCCAATATTATCTGTTTTATTTTTATTGTGAATATATTTTTATTGTGAATTATTCTTTTTTGTATGGTGAAAAAAATTCACAAAAAATGAAGTTAAGAGAGAATAGCCATTATCTAAAAAAGTGTGAATAGCATCAATAAAATTCTTTATTGAAATTTAAGGTGAGATAATAATACAATTCTATCAACTGCGCTATAACTCCTCTCTTATGACATAAAGGATGATGGGAATGGAAATTTAAAAATCTACCTGAATGAAAAGGTTGGTTTTTGATATCTATCAAAAATGATTTTATTTTCGTTGACAATAACAATAGTATCCAAAAAATTCAATCTCTCCAAATTCTATAGTAAACTTTAGTCTTGTACGTACGAATTAAAAGTGTTAAAAATTCAAAATAGAATTCATTCAAAATAGAAGGAGCTGCTAATATAATGTCGTCTATATATCTAAAGAAAGTTGTGTAAGTAATCTATCAATAGCTAAAGATTCTAGATCTTGTAAAATTATTTCAGCTATAACAAGGGATATTGGAGATCCCATGGAGGTGCCAAAAATTTGTTTGTAGAAATTGCCATTAAAAGAAAAATAAGTTTAAAACAAAATGTAATACAATTAAAAATTCGTTTAAAGGTGTTTTTACAAGATATATGGTCCATCTTTTTTTTAATGCTCTCAGATGCTAGTTCTATGAGAACATTAGTAAAAAGGGACATTACTTCTAAAGAAGCTAATATTGTCAGGTTTAAAATAATTTCATTTAATTTGTTAACAAAATGGAAACTATTTTTTACTTGGCTAGATGCTTCAGGTATGGTATAATTAATAATATTATGTAAGAATAATGACAATTAATATAATGGACTATTGACAGACGAAACAATAATTCTTAGCGGATTGCCAAGCTTATGAATTTTAGTTAATTCATACGCTCTGGGTATATTACCATCATATGTGTTTTAATTAATGCATATGTTTCCTTGATGTACGTAATATTTTATTTGAAATTAAAAATCTATTTTATATCACATCGATTCGACCATCGTTTCAGCGTCCCCTTAAGAAAGTTTATTTATCGATTATATTCATATTTGACATTGGATGGCGTTGCCAAAGTCACGATGAGGTCACTTTGAAATTTTTAAATAGGACTTTTAATTTTATTGCATATTATTATAGTCCTTCCTACGATTGAAAGTTCAATTTTATAGATGGGCATTGGAATAGAATTCAAATTTCTTTTGGAATGCTACATTTCATAGCAATGGCAGTCTCAATAGACATTAATGATTACAGTAAATTTTCACTGATATCGACAGGTCAATCAGCATCGTTGGAATCTTCATGTTTGGATTGGAATATGTAATGATCAAATTATTAGGCTGCATTTTTTTAAATATACAATTAATGGTCCAATTTACTTAGATTTTCTCTAAAATCATTTACCAGGACATTCTCCTGGATGTTCTCTAAAGATTTTGGTTTCAATGATAATGTTTGAACACATCCAAATTATTAGATAGGTCTAGGAAGATCAGGCTTATGGCCTCCAAGATTACTGGATCTAAATCCTCTAGATTACTTTATGGGAATATATGAAAGAAAGCTGTGTATCAGGAAGCAACCACGAGATATGATGGAAAGAGTCAGAAAAAACTCAAGTACCACAAATACTCAGAAGAGTTTTGCAAAACTTTAAATGCAGACTGATTTTGTGCTTGGAAAATAACAGTGCACACTTTGAACATTTAATTCCGAGAGTGATACGTAATGACAAAGTTCCTTAATCCTCCTATTTTACTTTCATTAGTCGGAGTATCTCTCGATCTTGCCTTCCCTAGCCGAATCAGCCATCGATTTTTGTTGGGTGAACATCTTATCATATAAATTTCGATAATTTCAAAACAGCTGATCTAAAGTGAATTAAGTTATAATGTGTTTTGGAAAAGTCTCAGGAAGGAGTATAGTAATATGCAATAAAATTTAGAGAGTTTCATTAAAAAAATTTAAAATGAGCTCGTTTTGACCGTGGCAACGCCACGCCAATGTCGAATAAGTCATTATTAAATGAACCTTTTTAAACCTATAACTTTTGTCTGAAACATTTTTCCATAACTTTTATAATTTTCGAGATATTTCGGTGTCAAAGTTAAAATGAGATATCTTGTATATTTTAATGATTCTAATTTTTATTATGATTTTGTATTTTATTTGAATACAAGTCGGCTGTTGTGCAATGTCGGTCTTTAGAAATATTTTTTAATCAAAATCAGATTTTATTATTTAACATTTGTATTGAATAATAGTCATTTTGAATAATGAAAATTTAATATTTTCTAATATTTATATTAGTAATATTTATATTAGTAATGCAAAATTATTTAAAAAACTCAGACCGTATATACGATTGTTACTTAGATAGCGTTTTTGTCATCTTGAAATACGCAACTAGCACATAAATTGAATAATTTTAAAAACATTTGTTTTATTTTATATATAGAGGACTGCTGTATGTCCACCTCCTCTACCTACGCCTGAAATGGGTAGCAAACTACCACCACCGCCACCTCCTCTTCCTGGCCCACCTCCACCACCACCTATGTCTGGAATGACGTGTCCACCTCCTCCGCCTATGCCCGGTTTAAAAGGACCTCCACCTCCACCTATGCCTGGAATAGGAGGACCTCCACCACCACCTATGCCAGGAATAAATCCTCTATCATCACCGATAATGGGGGCATTATCTCCATCGCCTCCAGTGATACAAATTTTGCCTCATGGATTAAAACCGAAAAAGAAGTGGGAAGTAGACGGACCATTAAAAAGAGCAAATTGGAAAGCGGTATGCATATAATATACTTATATTAATCAAATAAATTATTATCGGTATAGAAGATATAATGATTTTAATATCCACAATTTTTTACTGTAGTATAATTTCTATTATATAAAACTTTATGTATTTCAGATTTTACCTCACAGAATGACAGAAAAGTCATTCTGGACAAAAGTACAAGAAGACAAATTAGCTAGTCCAGAAATATTGGACGGTCTTGCACAGAAGTTCGCTTCCAAACCGAGCGGGAAAAAAATAGATGATGTAGTTGATAAGTAAATTTCACCTCAGTAATTATCATTTTTTAAATGATATTACATAAGATATTAATAAATTTTTCATACACGTAGGTCAGCCCCAACGAAAAAAGTAAAGGATCTCAAAGTTTTAGATAATAAGGCGGCTCAAAATATATCAATACTTCTCGGTGGGACATTAAAGCATATGCCTTACGTGGAAGTAAAACGATGTTTATTTCGATGTGAAGGACCAGTTATTTCTGACAATATATTACAAGGATTAATTCAATACTTACCTCCGCCAGATCAATTGTCAAAATTACAGATGTACAAAGATCAATACGATGACTTAACTGAAGCAGAACAATTTTGTGTTACGGTAATGTATTTAATTTTTGTATAATTTTTTTCTATCTTTTTATTTCACTGACATCAATGTTACAGATATCTACAATAAAACGATTATTACCTAGATTGAGATCATTAAGCTTTATGTTGCGATATGAAGAGTTGATACAGGATATAAAACCTGACATAGTAGCGGCTACAACAGCATGTGAAGAAGTGAAAAGTAGCAAAAAGTTTGCACGAATTCTCGAATTAATATTGTTACTCGGAAACTATATGAATTCCGGTTCCAAAAATGGCCAAGCATTCGGATTCGAAATTAGTTTTCTTACAAAGGTTTGTTCTGTAACATATATGTCTGTATGTGTAGTATATGCACGAATCGCTTATTGTTTCGATGCAGTTTCATGACTTTTTTTTTAGTTGACCAGTACTAAAGATATCGATAACAAGCAAACTCTTATGCATTACTTGGTGGATACGATAGAGAGAAAGTTCCCAGAATGTCTCAGCTTTATTGAGGAAATAGCACATGTAGACCGTGCCAGTAGAGTGTCTTTAGAAAATGTTCAGAGAACATTATGTCAAATGGAGACCAATATTCGTAATCTCGAACAGGATCTTACGAATGCCAAAGTTCCACAGTGTGATGAGGACTTATTTATAGATGTCATGAAAGTATCCTTCATTAATTTTTTGTTAATAATCCTTAATCATTCAACGGATAAAATAGCTTAATGAACGCTGAGTTATTTCTTATTAGAAATAGTTTCTACACTTCACTAAAGAACTAATAGCAATCATATTAAACAATCACTGAGTATGCATTGAGCAATGGAGGGTACAATTTTCATGGGTTTTGTGATCATTCGAGGATTGTTTTATTTCTATGTTTTCTTATATGTATTTTTCTTCGAAAATAGTCATATTATAATAACGCCAAACTTAAGAAAAAATTGATACATTGAAATGAATGAAATCTTTATTTGCATCGTTATAAAATCACTGTCAATTATATTTCAATAATTTATTTATGAAGTTAATTCCAAATTGGATCAAATGCGAATGATATTGCATCACAAAACGCTAATTAGATTATGTTTTTTATTATAACATTTTTTATCTCGATACTGTTTTCCCCACTGCAAGCGTTGCAAAGCATGATACCGATACAAATATTATAATATTAAAATATGTTATTATCATAAAAGATGATATAAAAAGATATATATAAAGATATAAGATAATCTAATTAACGTTTTGTTGAGCAATATTATTCGCATTTGATCCAATTTGGAATTAATTTTGTAAATAAATTATTGAAATATAATTGATAGTGATTTTATAACGATGTAAATAAAGATTTTATTCACTATATTTCAATGTACCGATGTACCAATTTTTCCTTAAGACTAATATTATTATAATGATTATTTTCGGTTTCTAGAAAGAAAATAGAAAAAAAATATATAAGAAAACATAGAAATAAAATGATCCCTGAGTGGAGTCACAAAACCCTTGAAAACGTGTATGTTCTTTTACTTACTGAATATCATTAACATCATTTATTGATCTTGTGTGTTGATCAAACAAAGATATTTCCTTAACGGAGTTATTTTATAGCCATTCGCGAAGAAAGCTAGAGAATCTTACGAAGTTCTGCAAAATATGTTTAAAAATATGGACACTCTATACAAGGACATCTCAGAATTCTTCTCTTTCGACAAGCAGAAGTACACCATAGAGGAATTCTTTGGCGATATCAAGACGTTTAAAGATGATTTCTTGGTAAATACGCGCTAATACGTCACGTCGCAGTCTATTCAATCGCTATCTAATGCGATTCTATATTCTCACCGTAGCAATCGCAGAAGGAGATAATAAAGCTGAAGGAGGGCGAGGAGAAACAGAGACGGACGAGAGAAGCGCGCGAAAAAGCAGAAGCAGAAAAGGCGACACGAGCTGCGCGTAAACGCGCATTAGTCGATATGAACGCACATGAGACTCAGGAAGGTGTTATGGATAGTCTGATGGAAGCGTTGCAGACTGGATCGGCCTTTAGTAGGCCAGATCAACGACGCAAGCGACAAACCCGCGTAGCTGGTGGTAAGTTGTATAGGACATACATCAGGAGACAAATGGTGAAGAAGGACCAAGCAGCTCAAGCATATTTATTTAGTAATATTTTAGACAAATCTATTAGAAATAAGTTAATGCACGAATGTGAAAATCTAACTTCAACTAAAATCGTGCGATGCCATATGTTCCCCAACAGGATTATGGCTGAAGAAATATGCACGACGGGCAATTCAATAAATTTCTTTACGCCGGAAGAAAATCAAGAAATCTATAAACAAATACTAGACGAGGCGAAAAAGACGCTTAGGCAGAAGCATTCGTCCAAAGTTACATTCGTTAAAAAAAAGAAACTGTGCAGTCGTTGTAATCGCGCGTATTACGCGACGATGCCGGTATTCGATGAGATATCTAAAAGAGACGTTTTACTAAAAACATTTAGAAACTTTGAGTCCAGTGCATTAAGAGTCAAGCCCATTGATCGATGGAGACGTCTCTGTTAATCGAGCGTGTATTCTTAGCTCGATTAAGCAAAGACGCGTCGTAGTCAACAAAATACGCAAAAGAAACAGCATTGTGTGCCGCACTATATTGAATTGCAAACGTATACATGCGAGCAATACAATTGCAAAATACAGTAAGTTTCATGCTTATTTGCAAAATCTACCAATATGAGTACTGCCATCGATTATCGATACGTCAGATATAGACATGAATTCTGTAAATCAAAAGATGTCAAAATCGATCGATGGTTTTCATACTAAAATACTCAAACAGGCCTTCACTGCGATGAAACTTTTAAGATCGAGAAATTTCGAAAACTTGACACGATATGACGAAAGTCAAAACATACAGGATTTGAAAAGGCTTTTTAAATTCGAGCATATCTATTCAATTTTCGAGTAGTGAACAGATAACTAAAACACAATCGCCACTAGTGACAGAAATAAGTAGAGTTATGTTATTGTCGGAAAATAATCCGTTGCATTTTATAAAATCAAACTCTATTCGTATTGCTACAAAGAGTCCGAAAACTCTGGACAACCCGCAAATACATACAAGCAATTCATTCCGGAAACAAGTAATTTAGCAAAAAATCGTAATATATTGAAAAAACTAAAAGATAGTTCATGGAAGAATAAGTGAAAGTTTTGACAAATGCCGATAAATATTTAATAGAATTATTTGCTGCTAATATTTGTACAAGACTAAAAATGGAAAAACTGACGCGAGAGAAAAAAAATATTTTGTAACTATTGTTGCGAAGAAACTTGTTCGAAAAAGCGTTATGATGCATACTTTGAAAGTCATTTGATTTTTAAAAATGTGCGACATTCTCGTGTTGTGCAACAATATTTTTATGATCTAATATTGTGTCATTATATTTTTAAGATACAGTGTAGGAATCATTACTTTGCATTAATGTCAATAATCTTTAATATTTTTTTTATTTATTTGAAAATAGCGAAACTCAATATATAGTTTTGATATAATGTACAATACATACATAAAATTTTCGTTTACCTATGGATGAAACATATCGAGCGAACTATTCAAAACTGATAATTGTAATATTTGTGATTTATGAAGAATTTAAAAATTTGAAATATATATTATTTTCATATAGCATATAAATTTTATATAATATTTTATTTAATTAATATAAACTTTTTAAGTAAATGAAAATGGATATTTGTAATAAAAAGTGAGTTTTATGTACATATTTGATGCACAAAAATATATTCTATTGATTTTGTAATCATATTACAGAAATTATGAGAACACAATAGTAAGATAAAAATAATAAAGTCAAAATGCTTCATTTCGATCATTTATATTCAAATTACAAAATTCAATGAAATATGAGGTAAATGTGTAATTTTATAATTTTTTTCTGTTACTGATGTGATTATAATGTAATATTAAAATAAATTTTTTTTCTTCAGTATTTTATAAAAATTTACATGATTTTTATGATTATTTATGTATTTTTTTATTATAATTGTTACAAATTTTAGTGTGACACAAAGTACTTGAGTGTTTTTGATAAAATATGTACCAAAGACTGTTTTGTATAAAAACATATATTAAGTGTGGGAAAAAGTTCGTGATGTTTTTCCCATTAGATAACATTAAAAAACGCCACGAACTTTTTCCCATATATATATATACATATTTGTAATTAAATGCAGTAACAAATTACTTGATTGTCTTAATCTTGTTCTCCTTGATATATTAAATGTTGTAAAGTAAATTGTATTATTTAATGCAAAAATATATTGCTGGAATGTCGGTATATGATTAATGTATATAAAATATAAAGTTCCATTCCTCTTTCGCGTAGCTATCAAGAAAAACGTTTCACTTATAAAGTGCATAAATTCTTTCAAAATACATTCCAATAGTAAATCCTATTATTCTCGAATAATATCAAGCCTATTTTAATTATATCTTAATTTTACAGCGGAAAGGAGAGCGCAACTAAATAGGAGTCGATCGCGTACTGGATTAGTCGGAACTGGCTTGCTAGGAAGAGAACTTTCGACGTAAGTATTATCATATAAATTGCAAAACGAATGCGTGAACGCTCAAATAGAATAGTCAGTTTCTTCCTATTATATATTATACGCACGTTATGAATATGAACACACATTTGTACAATACTGTACAAATATGTTACATATCCATCAATTTATGAAAAATTAATAACGATTGCTATCAATTTATTAATTTAAAGTACTTGCTTACGAATAATTTACGATAATTTACTCGCTTATTGGAAAACAATATAACGACTATATAGGAATATCTAATTTAAATTTTGTTAGTTATATTTAAAGATATAGTTATATTTAAAGATATAGAGAATGGGCCACGGTGTAAGAATAATAGGTAATTTCATTCGCCCATTTTTGCCCAGAAAAACTGTGATGAAATTGAAGCAGTTCAGACACGTAATACTAGAGGGCATGATGATCTGACATCTAATGGCCTTTGCCAATTTTTCCAATTCACAACCGTTCAAGTGGCGTTTCTTTTACGAAAAAATCCATGTATTCTCTTTCACAACTTTCATGATCTTCCTAATTGTTCCCACTAAACATGTGTATAAATAAATGTACTAATAAATAATAAAATTATTTATTATGTTGTTACTTATCTTAATCTTACTCCTGTCTCTTGAAACGCTCCAGGAAAAAATGTTTTACATATAATTATATATAATTATATATATTTATATATAATTTTTTTAATGTATATAATTTTATATAATTT